CCAACCACAGGTCTGTGGGCACATCAAGAGCTGCCACACACCGTGGGGAACAGCGGGGTCTCTGCAACATGATGGACAAACAGATGCAACTCCAGCCTGTCCTGTGGTGTGTCCAATGATGCAGGCCAGCCTCAGCCCCACACCTTGTACCCATCACCTGGGACAGCTCTGTGCTGCAGCCTGATGTCATGATGGCACCTCAAGCCTTAAAAAGTGGTTTGGGGGGTCCTGTGCAAATCCTGAGGACAGCACTCAGGAAAATGCACTACACCACACTTGTTTTTAGGCACATTTTATGAAAACACTGAAAACAAGCCAATAACAGTCTGCTGAAGAAATTAAAGCTCCAGTTATCTCCTCCTGTAAAAACAATGATTTGTAAAACATGCACTTTCCTCTTCTGCCCTGCATGTGTGATGGAGCACTGGCCCCGAGGCTGTGCTCTCCTTCCCCAGAGCTCTTCAAAAGCCACCTGGAAGTAGGCCTGGATAATGTGCTCTGGGTAACTCACCTGTGTGAGTGGGGGCTGGAACACATGTACCCAAACCTGTGGTTCTGTGATTCACGATACAAAATCAACAGAGGGGATGGCTCCAAACAGGCTCTTGCATCACTGTGTTTACCTACTCTTAGCAAGCTGAAGAACCCAGACAAATGCTCTCTTCAGGGGAGCAAACAGGTTCAAATGACACTTTAAATAATGCTTTTTCTATTACCAGATACTATAAAAACTCCTTATCTAACGCAGTTAATACCAAAAATAGCTGCCCACGCACAATGAAATTGTCAAGGAGAATTCATTTTACATCTGAAATTAAACAAGTCTGAAATAGAAAAACTTCAGATTGCAAGTCAACACTGACATTGAGGTAAATACTGCAATTCTAATGCAGGATATTCAAGACTTTTAGATGTTGCTCAGTACAACATGGTTTTCCTCCTCCTAGGATTTATGGCAATACAATCTGCACATCCTGTGTGCTTTAAAGAAAACAGCTGTGCCCCTCAATCTGCTTCTCCAAGAAATCTATCATAGTCAAGCTACTCAAAGCATCATTAACATCTTTAGCCATTAGCACTGCAGGAGATGCAAATAAATTTACCCTCTTATTTCCTTATATTAAACTACCCACACACCTCATTTTTCTTTCTAACCTTTACAGCATTTCAATTTCCATCTTTTTGACCCCTCTGGTTTCTACAGAAGAACGCTTAGTGTGCCTGAAAGACACGAAACACAAGTGTATGATCACAGGATCATCAGTATCATTTAAATAGAAGGCAGCAAGTATATCACAGCTGCCACTTGCCAACATGCTGTTTACATGCAGAATAACTTGTACTAATATTTAAAATAGAGGGGCACAAAGAGAAGAATTAGCTTTAGACTCAAAATGTGCTACAGAATCTCTTACACAAAGGAGATCTTTTATTCTAATGCCTCATTGAGCAGAGGAAGCCATGTTACCTACATCTTCATACACTTTTGAAGCAGGTGTTTCACTGCCAGTTCCAAGGGGCACAAGTGCAAGGTCTTCTACCTATAAAATTTATTGCTTTAGTTACCCTAGCACTCCAAAAAAAAGATGTTCTGTAACTGTGTCTTTCATTGATTAAGCCAGAAAGTTCAATAAATACAGTTTTGACATTTTGTTGTTAATTGCTGCTCTCAATCTGTAGAAACCATCAACATCTCCACAGTTGATTCTGGCCAGTGTCTTGAGTGAGCTTTACAAAGTCTTCACAGAGATACTGGACAACTCATATGGGAAATGTAAGTGCGTGGTCACCTATCACCAGAGCCAGCAGCACGCTTAGCATGTCATCACCAGAGTATCCCCAACTAAAAAGCAGTTTAAAGTTGCCCCAAAAATGCTGAAGTATATTACATATGGTGTAACAGGCACACACAGAAAAAGCCACTCTCCTTTACATCAAATTGCATCAGAACAATCATTCAAAAAGAAATGCAAGAGGAACAGCCTATTAACACCACTTTGCCACTTGTCTTTCTTAAAAGTGCCTTCCTGCCCATTCTTTTTTTTTTTAATTGGGAAGTGCCTGATGACCTAAGCACAGATAAGAGAAGTAAAGCCAAGCGTTGCCTTCTTGGCTTTACTTTTCAAACTGTGTTTCCAGGATTTACCAGTCACTTCTTGGAGATTCTTAAAAGAGGACTAAGAAAAGTAGGTTCATACACAACAAAATTATCATTATCACCAGCAGCTCTTCTTACTATTCTTGTGTCCTTTTTCAAAGCATTTTCTCCTATCAGCAGTTGTTACGTATCTTCCGTCAGTACCTGTAAATCTAAGGCAACTCCAACTCTTCTGTGGTTTCCTCAAGATGCAGTTTAGTTGGCAAAGAGAAAAAGCAAACAGTAGAAAGATACTTGTTGTACACTTCAGATGTAGCTACTAACATTTCTTTATAGATCTGGGTCACAGTCACAGAGATAAGTGTTCAAATTTGCATTGTTTTCTCAGAACATGTTAGAGATATTAAACGGGCACTCCACTGCAGAGGTAGGTAGATGTTTTCAAGAACTATGGATTCAAGTTACAAATAAAAATAAAAATCAGATTACAGAAGCATGTTTGAAACAGTAGTGAGAAAGTGCTAAAAGCCAGATTGAGTAAATTCTGTAAATATGCCTCAGAGAAGCAGAGCGCTACATGAGTCTGCAATGGATGGGCAGCATTCTAATTAGTAATTTAAACATGTCAAAGGAAAATGCAGTGCTCATTATCAGCAAAGGATTGCTGTAAATAATTTGTTGCTTCAGCTGCTAAAGCTTTGTTTTTTTTCTGTTCTGTCATTTCAATTCCTCTGTCCCCTCCCACAGACTGCTATTTTTACATGTAGCCAACACTCCCAGATGTCACTTTGTCATCTGCCACCAATACACTGTCACTCTTTTCTGATGAGACTTTTGCTCCTTCTAACCTTTAGTTTGTATCTAAAGTTTGCAGCGTTAACAAAGTTGGGAAAGAGAGAGAGGTTTTAAATAAAAAACAAAGCTTGAACTAAGATGTCAAAAATACTTAAACAGGTCTCTCATCACGCATTTACTTTACATGATAAACTCAGCTAACTACTATATGGTAAATGAAGCTACACATGCTGATTTTTTCCTCTCTCTCACAAAAAGACTGAAAAGCAACTTAAAAAAAATACAGTTATTGAAAAGGACTCCATTGCCCTGCTATCGGATTTTGCATTTTTTTAGTAAATGTGCATGTTTCTTGTCATTTTTCTTTTATCCGCACTTTATCACGACTCCAACATTCTCAGTCTCAAAAACGTCCATCAGAATGAAGTATACAGCTGACAAGAAAAAATAAAAGAAACATAAAATGAAATATAAATAAGTCTTCAAGTGGAGAGAGGAATTAGAGAAGCATCTCAAGCCTGCAGAGGGATGCATGAAAAAAAAAAAACAAAAACCAACTCTTACCTTTTTCAAATATTTATCCAATTATCAATGCATAAGCAACAAACGCAGTGCCCCATTGGCTCAACACAGGAAAATAACTCATTAAGACAATGACACTTGAAGGGAGAGGTTTATTACATCACCTACACCTTTTTGTTTCTGAGCTGGTGACCAAAGCAACAGTGAAAACCTTGATCCAGAAAACATGTACAGCAAATTGTGTTTTGGATTCTGAAATGAAAACCACAATTTACTTGTGCTGTCAATGAAAACACTGTCTGGTTCACCTCGCTTCTCAAGCCCTGGGTGACCCTCTAATCTTGCAATGGCATTTTCCATATCGTAACGCTTAAAAAACTCCACTAAACACAACAGAATCCTAAATAATAATTCATTTTTTAATTACATGGTATAGAATACCTTGCAAACAAAAGACACTTATTCAGATTTCCTGTCAGGTACTGGTTGTTGGTTTGTTTTTTTTTTTTTTTTTTGGCAAACTTGGAACAAACCAGGAGGAAAAGCAAAGAATTATTTTATAATCATGAGGGAAAGAAACGTCCATTTAAATGTAGAGGATTTATACAGCAAAACTTAAAGAAAAAATCCACACTTACAGCAGATTTTTTTTTAATTCTTAGTGCAAGAAACATAACCAAGTTAATCACAGAATCAGGACTAATTAAGAATATGGAAAATTCTCCTATACAGAGGTAGAGTCCAGTGCACAAGGCTAAAACGATATTCAATAGTCTAAACAAGACTGAGCCAGGTTTTACGGAATCCACTTTTTAAAGTATCAGACTGTATGTACATACATACAATAAATAGACTATACAATCTTTAAAGTAGTTTAATAAACTTCACAAAAATTATAGAAGATGCATTGAGATCTTTACATAATCCAAAGTTCATATATCTATCGCCCAGAAATGGATAAAACCAATATTCCTGATATCAAGTTAAATGGAAAATAGTATAGCAAAGTGTTGATAAATCAAAATATTTTACATATTTTAAAGCCTAAATTTATGCTTAGAAAGGATGAATTTCAAATGCTTTGAAAATGTTCCTTTTGATATCATCTGTAAAGAGGTTTCAAATGCTTTGATTGGCATTTGTATTGTTATACTTTCCTTACATTCCATGTTCAAGGGAAAAATGGACTTGGAGACTCACAGTTCCAATGCATTGGCACAACAACGATGAGAATTAGATATTTTCAAGGCCCAAAGGACATCAGGAGAATTTATGGACAAAACCTTCATGTCATAAACCACGCAAATCACATTAGAAGGTTAACAGAAACTGTTTGGTATCACTACTTCAATCCTGCCAGTGCCTCTCCTCCTGGAGGCATCCGATCCGCACTGCGCTAAAGCAAAGGCTGCTTCTCAGGGCCCCTAGGTTTGCTACAAGCCCATAGGGCTTAATGAAAACAAATATGGAATCTTTACGGTTTACCACAGTAGTGCATATATCAGGGAAATCTGCTGCCACTCACGTCAGTGACAGGCACAAAGAAAGAATTTCATGGAACTGAGAATTTTCAACCGTATCTTTCTAAACCATGCAAAAAAAAAAAAAAAGTTCTTATTGCCCAAGGGGGCAACAGCCATGGTAGGAAGGAACTAGTAACAACAACAGAACAGCTTAATAAGTTGAAAATTATGTTCACGATTTGGTTATTTTTAATTTCTATAAGCGCCTACGCTGAAAAAAATATGAAGGTTTGTATTTTAGCTTCAAAACCAAATCTACTTGTGAGAAGTACCTTGTTAAAATGTGTATTCTGCTCTTCTATAGGCCTTCTCAGTGAAACTTATAAAATTATTTTTTATTTTATACAAACAGACTTAATTTGTTTTAAAGTAAACACATACAAATTGAGAATATTGCTTGCAACAATGGACCTGGAGGTGAAGGAATGAACTAGTACAAGCCATACAAAACAAATCTGTCTCTAAATGAGTTCTGCTAAACTTCTAATGCTATGAAAATCTGCAAAAAGGATCACAAGACCTGTTGCGAACTTCAGATATTTGGCCCAAGTCTTATAACTATCATCATCTGAATACTTTAACAACTGTATCTTTGTCTTAAGGAAAAATAATTGATTCCAAGAACTTAGGAAGGCACACGCACCCAAGTATACTATAAATAAAACACATCATGAAATTATGAACGATCTTTTGATCCCTGTACATACACACTTTTGGTTCAGCACTATGGTCAAGTTCTCTCTTTTGAAATACAATAGAAGGCATAAGAGAAATATAACATATGCATAATAATTATGAAGAATAATGCTAATAACAGCTTACAGAGAAAAGTGCAGTGAAAAAAAACCAACACTATTTATTCAGGGGCTTGTGCTACTGTAAATACAGACTTGATATTTGCTGCTGTGCAAGGGGAAGAATTTTTCCTGGGAAGCAGCAATGAGGAATGGAAAAATAAAAATTAAGAAAGATATTAAGAGAAACCTTTAAGCTGAAACTCTCCAAACGTCACTCCTCTAGTGCACAGTCATCTGACTACATGGTTCATTTTCATGCTGTCGTTTCTCTTCAAAAGCACAGCACATTGAAAAATGGCACAGTTCTGAAACAGTTTTTCTGCCTCTACTTCATTTTTTGTTTCTACTTCCAAGCACCCGATTTGCTGTTTCCTCATACAAAGAGTAAAGCTGTTAGTGAAAGTGAGAAAGAAATTGTCACCCATCTTCTCTTCCAAACATTGGCTTCTCCACTTCAGCTCCCGCTAGGTACTTTACTCGTGTGCTACACAATGGGGAGGCACTGTAAAGGCAGCTTGACAGATTTAAAAAAAAAAAAAAAAATCAGAAGTCTTTTTCTCCCCCCCCCCCCCCCCCCCCCCAACCCACCCCCAAAAAACTGGATGGATGAAACAGTACGTCCGTAGGAATATTCCAGTCTCCTCTGTTAGGAGATAATAGCAGGAGACCATCTAACCACAGTCAGATTGTCAGCACTGACTGACCGTTTCTTTGCAGATTTCCTGAAGTCCTTGTATTTATCTTCACACAAGCGGGAAATGGCCTGTAACACGAAAGAAGGAAGAAATCTCAATTGCATTGGCCACAACTGTACAATGAAGATTTTACATACAGACAAAATTACAAAATGGCACTCAGTGAAATCAAACGTGAAGAACTTGTTCCCAAATCTTGTTTCATTTACCTTACGGTAATCAACACTTTGCCACTGCACTGCCCACCATACTCACTTTTGAAGGACTCAGCAAGCATGTTCCAAGCCTTTTCTTTACTGCCTAACTGTGGCATACCCAGTCAAGACAGCTGACAAGTAACATAGAGCACTTCACTGGCAACAAACTGTAGAAATGTTCATAGAAATTATATTTGGGCAGTTCAGGAAGAGGATGGCTTATATTTCCTCTAGAGACGAGCAGCCTGTCAGATGATTTGCCCTGCTTTACTAATAGGGCTGATGTTTGCCTCCATTTCTGAAGAATCTGCAGGAGATGGTGATTCCTATGCAAGCTGCTGCCTTACGAGCTGCTGAAGTGACACTAAGATTCAGAATAATTTTATTTGCATTAAAAATGCACAGAAATGTCATAAGAATATCTTTTAAAGAAAGAGACAAAAATTATTCAAAAGGTGAGACTTACTAAATGACACTAAGGCTAATGTTCTGTGTTCCTATTGCTTTTAGCTAAGTTTAAAACAAATCTTTATTATTTACCTTTTATATCTCAACCCAGTAAGCATTCGTATGATTGGGACAGACTATGGGTTGCATGAGTGAGGATGTTAACTCTGGCATTTAAACACGCAGAGCTGCAGAGGAAGGTCATTCCAAGGAGTGCTCAAGGTCAACTCAGAAAATGAGATGAACTAAAACATATTTCTGTTTACTCAGGAACGCTTTTAAGCGGTGTCTTAAGATGGGATGTTTAAAAAAAAGTACTGTACAAAAACAGTACAAGTGTTTGATTATAAAAGAAGGCAATGTAAATAAACAGTCTGACTCCACCAAGCATCTTTCTCTTTCTTACCCTTTACTTCAACAGCACAGCAAGTAGTAGGAGTCCTAAAATCTCAACTGTCCGCAAAGATCAGCAGCAGATATGGCAGAAGCACACAGCTCCTGCCACTGAGAGGAAGCTCACCTAATTCTATGATAAATCTAGGATGACTAAATTAAATTTAAAAAAAAAAAAAAGAAAAAGAACAAACAAACAAAAACCACCAAGAAAACAGCTGCTACTTTATAGTTGGAATCCAAATTTCCTTTTGCTATAGCCATTCTTGAACAGTTTTCTTTCTTACTGCACATGAAGAAAACAGAGTAAAATAACACAACTATTCTTGTTGCTTTGTAGATCATAACTTAAATTCACTTAAAATTGCTCAATAATAATTTACATAATTTAACCAGGAACTCAGTGAACTAGGAATGTTTATGCAATTCAATCAGATTTAAAATCCAATAAATGAAAAGAACTGAATCATGGAATAATGTGCCAGGACGTGGCATGTGCTGAGGTGGAGGTCAGCTTCCTTTGGTTGCCAAACCAGTCTCTTCTTTTAGGCATTATATAGAGATGATAATCACTATAAAAATCACTACAAAATTGCATGTACAATAGGAAAATATTTCTGTTCTGGCACTTGGTCAGACAAAACAAAATTTTGCTTGGAACTGGTACTCAATGTTTGGCAGCTCCAGTCCCTGGTGATTATTCATATAGATATAAAACACTGACTGTAGTTTAAACCAATCCATTTGCAAATAATTTACAAAACAGACATTTGAAGCCTATTTGAAAATTCACTAAATTGTCTTGTAACATAGGGGAAAAGAAGACAAAAGTGGACAATTGTAATTACTTACTTTGTCTGTCAGTTAAGATATATCCATATAAGTTACAACACCTCTCTGTCATCTGATGTATCTATTACTTCTAACACCAGAGAAAACTAATTTCTCCTGTTGCAAGGTATCTTTTCTCCCGTGAAATTAAAACAAAGTATTATTAAAAAACAGCAACAGCAATCAATTAGGTGGAATTTTGTTCCTTTATCGAGATACTTTACATGGTTTTGGAGGAGACAAGAGGGTAAGAGGGGGAGGATGAGGAGACAGGGGAGAATGGCAGCAGAGGATAAATTTTGGCTGCATGCACACCGCTGTGCAGAGCAGGAAAGCAGGAGTGCTGGCTATAGATTGACCATTGGAAATGCACAAATGCACTTGCCTTGCAGCCTTGAGTGCTGCAATACTCTCCAAAATGGGCAAACCAGAGAGAATGTAGGGAGAATCAGAAATAAGTCTGGTTGGAATGTATAAAAAAGCAGATGACTGAAAGCTGTGATGATGGGAGTTCTCCCGAATGTATGGAAAATGGAAAGAAGAATCATCAGGTCACTACTGACAAAAGGAGTCACAGAAGTTTTGCTTCTTAGCTACAAGGTTCTGAGCACACAGGACACGCAAGTCTGCCATCAATCACTTCAAGAATGGGAAGCTGGAAGGTAGAATGACACTTCTTAGCTCATACCTTACAATTTTCTCCCCTCTTTTTACTCTGTTTCATCTATGGAATACTACCTCTTTAGCGTCAAGATAATACAGCACACAGTAGTTGAAAGAGCTCTTCCTCAAACACTATCCTAATAATAAAAACCTGAGACAACACACAGTCCATTCAATTGAGAGTGCACTAAAAATGCTCTTACAAAATCTAGTCTGGAAATGAGCAAAGTGCCAAGATCACAAGCAGAAATAGGGTAGGTATGTTTTGTGGACTTACCAGAAGAGCAGAATCTGACTCATATCTATCTCAGTACATGGGAGAAAAACCAGGTGCAAGAGTAGGAAATTACAACATAGTGGCTTAAGGTTGGATATCTGACAATCTTCTTGGCAGAAACTTCTTGTTAGAAACTAATTTCTCAGGAGAAGAAAAGGAAGCCTTGACATTTGACACAATTAGAAGGAAGGAGAAAACACAGCACAAAATATGCTGTTCTGAACAAGGAGCACTGATAGGTAGGCTGGATGATTTAATGAAAGGTTATTTGCTGTTTTTAACTTGAGGGATTTCATACAATGTGGAAGGGGAAGAGGGGGAGTTATTAAAATGTCATTAAAATGTTTCCCAATTACTAGGTGAACTAGTACAACAAATTCAGGACGCTTTCAGGCCACATTACTTTCATGTTATCATTGAAAAGACAAAGCTGCTTCTTTCTATCAGTTGTGGGAACATTAAACAAGGCAAAACATCCCCTGCAAAAGCTCCAGAACGAACTATTGGTTATAAAAAGTGTTATAACCTCTCCTAGCATTTCCAATCTGATGGATCTTGTCCAGCATTTCCATTTGACAAGGAACAGTTATCACTAGCCTTGTCCTCAGGATTCTTTTGGAATTTTTTTTGTCGCTGCTAGGTCAACTTCTTGGTATTTGCAAAAATAGCAACACAGATTCTGCCACAAGAGACCTAATGCTCCTGCTTCAGATACTGAACATGACTGTAAAATGCAATCATATCAATGCCAGTAAATAAGTTGCTTGAAATCTCAGAACTAAGCAAAGTCTTTTCAATTTACCAGACATGGCAAATCATTTCACTGCATGTGTACGTTTGCTATCAGTCTGTTGTCTTTAATCATAGACTGCAGTTTTTCTGTCAGTTTCAAAACTAGAGAACTCTGGGCTGAAAAGTGTATGATAGACTTTGAAAATTGTTGCAGACACATTCTGATAACTCCTGGCAAGCTATACAGAGCTGTGCTCAAGGAATTAGGCTATACATTATGCTGTCAACTCTTTCAAGGGTACACAAAAGACATCCAACATCACCAGGGAACAAGGCAGTTCCCATCATGTTCCCTTCCTTCTGGCCACAGAAGAGAGGTAAGGAGCTGGCAGACCAGGTGGAGTCTCACAGCAGAGACTCTTCCTCTTACCTGAAGCCATCCCCTTTGGAGCAAGCTTACTTCAGAGCTGTCTTGTACTAGCAGCACAAACCACCTTCACCTTGGCAGAATTTTTAATAGTGTGGACTTAAGTCAAAAATATTCCATTAGTTCTTTTAAAATATGCATACTCTTTAATTAGTTCAGAAAAACCACCAGTATTTAATCTCTTCATAATTACTGGTATTTAATTTCTTCTAAGGTTTTAGGATTTATCTTCATTACCTGCACTTGTAACTCACTGACAGGTTTCAGAAATGCTGTGTATTACATTCTCTTCAAATGAAATATACTTAATTATAAATGCATGTGAAGGTGATAATTATCAAGACCTAACATCTAATAACTTAGCACACTACTTCCTTTGACGTGAGTCCCAATGATTTTTCATATTTTATTATTATGATTCTTTAACACAAATAAAATTTGATGCAAATTTACATCTCACTTCATATACAGAATTAACTTGCATTCTTTTGCAGCTATCTGAGAAATTTGAAGGGAATATTTAGAAATAGAGTAAGATATGATATTCCAATTTAGTGAAATCTGCTTTAATTCTTTCTTCCACCTCTGTTCCCACTACAGGCTGCAAACAAGTTAATAAGTCTTCCCATGCATCATCTCCCTCCAACAAAAACTGTTTTACAGGAGCACTAAGAGTTTCAAAACATGCAATGCCAACATTAATTCATAGCCATACAACCTATAGTGCAAAACTATTATCTAATTAAAGACATCTCCAGTGCTAAGGCTGTTAGTAGCTAATGGCAGATTTCAAACTTTGAAAAAAAAAATGTGTACATATTCATGCAGTAACACACGTTTTTGAAAAATTTGACCTAGAATGCTCAAGAAAAGATTCCAGCCTTCAAAGTATCCACAATTGCCTGATGATTTAAAATTCCTCCAATGTATGTAGGAATTCATAATGCTCTGAATTTCACAGGTACATCTGACATAGTGGTTTATGCACATGGTGTATTCAGATCTCCTAATGATGTGTGCTTATTTCTGTCTCATCACTGAGCATAACACTGCTGAGACAACGAACTTGGATTCACGTGAAATGCAGCAGTAGCAGGTAACAAGCACAAAGAACACTGATTTTTAGCAAAACTTTTTAATACTCTGTCCTGCACAGTCAATCTTAAGAATAAACAGAACCAAACTGTGAGTAGAGTTATTGTAAAAATTGTGGCTTTTTTCACAAGGTCAATGTAGACAATTAGAATTGGAAAGCAAGACATGATATGAAGTTGGGCCAAAAAGGTGTTTCCATACTCATGAATACCTAAAGCACAAGGTAAAAAAAGATCAGTTATGGATATGGGGCACATTCTAACATTACATGGGAATATTTAGGAAGAGATGGGTTGGGAAGGGAGAAATACTCCAAAAATTCCAAATGACCATATATATTCAGTTCTGGGCAATATAAAAAGAAATTGCCTTACCTCAAGTTTATATGCCCTATCCCTGCTGAGGGGCTCCAAAGGAAAACTCAGGTTATTTGCTTCTGCCAAGGAGCGCAAATCAAAATAATACTTGGCATAAACACTGGAGGGAACATTAATATTGAACTGCAACAGCTCCAGAAACTGGCGTTCCAGCTCATTCCTGTAAAGAGAAGATAAATGTGAAAACATTTTTCAGACAGTGCATCCTGCATGCAATTTGCTTTAAATTGCAAATGGCAGTAACAAAGTTCATTTCGTATTCTTGACAGATGCAATTATCCTAGCCTAAATTTTGAACTAGTCTACCAAGTTCTATACGCATACATGCTTCAGTGAGGAATATTAAAGTTGCTACACCTCACAGCTACTACTGCTGTGCCAGTCAAACCCAAAACCAAACTTTTGCCAGAAGAAGAGACCCTTTAGTTAAGCTAGCACAAAAGGGAAAAGGGTAAAGCTAGGAAAATAAAGTTCTTGTAGTTTCTGCAATACCTCCACTAGGTGGATCTGCACACACAGCTATGCCAACACAAAATACAGACGTGTCCTAAATTTGTCAGACAGCCCTCAGAGATGTTGCAAATTATCCTAACATACAAATGACTGGACAACTTGTTTATTCTCTCTTGGCTTTCATAATAAATCACTTAAAACTAGACATGGGAAATCTGATTTCTTCAGCATATCATTTGTCTGGGCTTATGAGCAGAATACAGCAATTTTTCCCTAAGACTTACAAGAAAAATTCAACTTCAGTACCTCAAAAAAAAAGTGCTTTTCAAATGAATGGATAGGAACAGGCCTATCTGAGCTCCTTGAAAACTCTGTTGTATCAGTATGTTATTAACCACTGCATTACAATAAAAAGTGTGTTGATAAATAAGTAAATAAAACAAACAAACAAAAAAAAATCACAGGTTAATTTTGTAGCATTTGTAAATTATATGGTAACTTAATATCCTACACAATACATACACTGGGACATTTGATATACTTAACATAGTGATTTCAAGATACAAGAAACAAATAGCAAATAGGTAGTACATTTTGCAGAAGAGTATGGGCTGCATAGGTTTGTTACCAGCAGGTACTGACTATGATACTGCATTGAAGTTACATGCTGACTGCACTGTATGTGCACAAGGAAAGTCAAGAAGAACGAACAGTGATACAGTAGTTTTCAACACTGAACCATTTTTTTTTTCTTACTTCCTACTGAAGGCCATTACACATTACAATAATTTTCTTTTGTAATCTTCACTTTCAAAGCAATGCCACATACACAACTATGGACACATACTGTCTCTCAAGTTAGCCTTTAGTTACAGCTAATGAACTATTGATGATTCTTAAAACTCTGAAAATTATGTATGATGTTTTATAAGATAAGCTTATGCTTAATGATTCACAGTAGTTGAAGATTTAGGTGTAGAGTTTTCCTTGCCTTATTAATATAAATAATAAAAGCTCTTATTTGGTATAGATCAAGTCACATGAAAACTGTAACACTGTATTGTCCCAGTTATCCAAAGAAAGAAAAAAAAATAGTGATCATCATCACATCAGAGACAGGAAGAAGAAAATGTCTGGAAGAACTGGCAGTAGGAAGAGAAACATCAGCACATCAACAAGCACCCAACTCTTCACTGAAGCATTCACAAGGGGCTCCAAACACAAAGCTCACAAAACAGTCCATTAAGTACCATGCAGAAAGAGAGCATAGACTCCCTAAAGGCTGCTGGCTCTATACTTTGTTTTAAAGATTGTATGTGTCTCACTTTGAGGACAAGGACTCATCACTGGCCTGTTCAGCAAGCATGAAACACAGAAAGACGACTGGTGGCAGCACATGAGCACAGGTCTGCCACTGGAGTCATGTTTTTATACTGCTGACGTGCAACTCCTTACAGCAGCACCACCACGTGTATTTGTCAAAAGCAAAAATCTCCTTTTTTTTTGTCCACTTCCTCTCATACCATCTCAGGATGCCCCTTAACTTGCCTTCTCAAAAAGCCCTGAGAATGAGCAATTTCAAAGCTTGTATTTTTAACCATACTTGATTAATACTGTCACATGGCACAGTCAAACCTGTCAGCATTTGCTTCAACCTTTTGCTTCAAGCTATTCAGAGCTGTACTTTACCCAATATTTCAGCTTCAAACACATTATAAAAGTGCTCGGATTTGCATTGAAGGAGAAGTTAATGGAGAAAGAACCTTATTTGGAGAGCACACAAAATAGTCAAGAAAGCATTACCAAACTGTTCTGTATGCAACAGAAATTGAAATGGTATTATGTACATTTCTGATTTCTGCTTTGAAGTGACAGTTTTCTCAAAAATAATGAGAGTTATTTTACAGCACACCATAGCAATGAAGGGTTTATGTTATGCACTCTTGTGCAGGAAGTAAAGATCTTATTATAAACTTCTTAGTACAAATCTAGAGATAACTTTTCCAATATTCAAGAAATGAGAGCTACTTACAGTTTGTAAGTGCCTTATCTAGAAGTGTATGAGCATGCTGCATTTTAAGCAGTCGGCTGTCTCCCAGCTTTCAACCTATTCCTTACAGATCATTTTTAGACTAGCTATAAAGTAGTTTCTTAGTAGCTTTGATTTAGAGCAGCTGTAGCAGAAATGCTTCATCTTCATTGAGATTGTAAACTGAGATTCAAAAACCACAGTGTCTATACAAACATTTTTTCCTGTTTACTTCCCCCTTCTTTTCTCTTCACTTAATAGCGTGTGTCGAAACATAAATACAAAACAAACAGAAATATAAATAAATGTAAATAGTATTTAGCCACAGTAAATGCTATTCAGTGACTACAGTTATAACGTAACTGAGTTAAAGTAGAAACAGATCTATATATTTTTTATTAGAAACACCTTTCCCTGTTTAAAAGAGCTTAGAAACACAGAGGTACTGTACTAAAACCATCTCTTCAATCATTCTGCTGTCACTAGCCCTTATGAAAATGGGAGTGTAAGTGTAGCTTCAAACCATCACTCTCTGAAGGCACTACTCTGTGGCCTGTTTAGAAATCTGGCCACGCCGTTGTGATCCCAGCACCATGATTCCAGCTTCAGCCATTCTAGCAGCACTCTTACGTGCACATTAACTCAGATAAGGGCACTTGTGAGCTGGTGCACGGTATGTGACTCAGCCCTGAATGTTATGAAAGTCAGGCACTTCAGCAAATACATGTAATACCTACTAACCAACCAACCACGAGTACTCGATAACTTAATGGGATAAACATTCATTTTAGTATTTGTAAACATTAAGATCTTAATTGCATTTCTTCTTATCACAGTTTCTTTTATCACTGTTGAAGCATACTCTTAAAATGACTGGAAAGCATGTAGCCACATACTGTAACTCCGTATATGCCATTACAATACATTTCTTAAGAATGCCATTGTGTAAAAAAAAAAAAATGGAAAAGTTACCAGAATGAATTTTCTCTTCACAAGTTAAAATATATATACATTTTAATCTTGGAAGCAAATTGAGCAGGATATGGAAAAAAGAGTATTTGAATAATGGCAGAAATGTGTGAGTGATCATTTAAGGATTGAGTAATAGCAGCTGTAAGTGGGTGGCCGTCTACAGGATTTTAGGATCAGAACAAATCTTTTTCTTGTCTTACACACTGTTCTACTGTCTGTGCAGAGAACTAACATTACTGTAAAGGATGCTAAACTGAAGACAAGCAGGCTCATCTGACTTTTTTTTGTTGGTTTTTTTTGGTCAAGTCATAGATTTCAATATTCTGCAAGTTCACTGTGCATGAACATCCAGCAGTAAAATACAGTTTAACACAAACAACAAAACAGTTCATGTTTTCTATGTAAGCAACCCTCCAGCAGACCTCGTGCCACATATATCAGCATCCACCTCATTTAGACACAATGCAGACACACAACTTTATATAAATTTATGAGATATCTTCCCTTCCCCACTCATACTCACAGATTATGGACAAAGATAAACACACTGGACTCACATGTCTTCAACTGTGATATCTTTCAGGATCTGGCAGTAATCCACATTCCACACCGCTTGGTCGTCCCAAACCTTGGATGCCAGCAGAATAGCACCCAGTACAATTCGCTTCCAGTTTGCTGGACAAATATCTATCTCTGCATAAGTTAGAAGTCTTTCAAGATATACCTGTGGGAACACGTTAAAATCAAGACATTTTCATTTCTACTTAATAGCAAAAAAGATTAAGAAAACTATTCTAATAAACCCAGGACAGCAATTTCAAAACAGTAATCTTGTAGCCAGAAGGTTCTTTCATAAAAGCTGTAGGTTTAACGGATACATTTATGCCAAGCTCAAGACTTGGATACAATAAATACATGTTTTAGTTGACCTCTGTTTTCTGACCATAATACCAGAAACAAAACTGCTATTTTTCTGTCTGTAACTCTTGCTAACATATTTGTATGTCTGAATAAATTCAAATGATAGTTTAAATAAATGATTAAAATAATAACATAAACAAATAAAATGCCAACTACTAATGTGGAAGGCAAGCGTATGCTACCAGTTGTAGTTATTAGCTATCATACAAACAACCATGGCTCTAATTCCCAAACACTTATCAGATATGGCATCATGTCATGCAGGTCCCCTCCAGCGATCCTGTGCAAAATATCACTAACCAGACTGGCAAGAGATCCAAGTCCCTAGAAATAAACAAATGGTCACTCCAACACAAGGATTCAAGACAGAAACTCAGAGAAATGTGCGTGAGTGGGTGAGGTGAGAACAGCGCTGGAGAATCAAAAGACTCACTTCTCCAAGGAGCGCTCCAGAAATATGTATAAAAAAAATGCAAAGCTCAGTAAAAAGGCAGTAAATGCATCTCAGCAGAGTTCGGCAACTTCATGGGCCTGTTCCAAAGGCTGCCCTTTGCTTCTTAGGCAGCCCGTGTAAACCCCCTACTATTAATACAAACATACTTGTTCAACTTAGCAAGCAAAACTGCACCTTGAATTATGAGCTAACAATTCCTGGAATTGTCCCACTTATTGGAATGCTTGTTTAAAGAAATACACACTACCAACACAGGGAGCTTCATAAGTAGGAAGTGTTGTAGTATCATGCCACTCAAAGTAGGGCAATGAAAATTAGCTTCATTTGCTTTACAGCAATGTTGAAATTGACCCCTTACTGTAAATGCAAGGTGCTTAAATTTCACCTTCCAAGCTTATCTTGCAGCAAATGCTTGCAGAAGTTTACTGAAGTCCTTAGATAGTGTGAGAATTCAGCATAAGGTAGAACTAATCTCCAAAGGTGCCTATGCTATCCTAATAGTTTAGTTCATCAACTTTCACTCAAATCTTTCAGGTACAGCCACTGTCCTCCTTACAGCCCTCTGCTCTAGCTGCAGGTCAGAGGGAAGCAGATGGCTCTGCAGACAGTGAACCTCAGGCAAAGGAAAGGATAAAACATACCTGGGCTTCTGCCCTACTCAGGTAGGGTACCTTTGTGAAAGCAGTAAAGGCACAGGCAAGCTCCCTCTCCTACACACACCAGAAAGCTCACTGTGACAAAGGGAACTGCCAACCCTTGTTTTTATCTCAGCATTTCAGTATACCTGGTCTAGGTCACAGGAGCAGCGTGAACACCATGATTTTGACCTTGATAGGCAAAACGGAGAAAGAAGTAGGGGTAAAGCCTGCCGCGTGCTCAGTATCCTACATTAATTCAGGACTGCTGCTTCTGGCTGCTGCAAAGATGTGCTGAATCAGTACAGACTTTTGGAGAATGGCCAGGTGGCTCTCAGCCCATCTGAAGAATGCTGGTGGGTGATCAGTCACTCTGCTGCTCATCCCAAACAAATGTGTGGCTGGTGGGAGAGCACCACCTGCTTTGCTGACAGCAGCAAGTGAGTCTTCCTGTGTGCAAGCAGACACACTCCATATCAAGTATAAAAAAAAAAATCTCTGGAAATGATGGTCCTGTAATGCTAAGTGTGATATATGGAAATGCCACTTGCATTCACCTTAGTTATGCAATTAAGTCTACACATTAACATCTTAAACACGGGCTCATTTTCTTAAACATGGGGTGTGAATCACAGACTCGGGATTCCGTGTTTACTTCATGGTTTAATATGTATTTGTGTGTTGTGATGAATTTCACTCAATCTTCAAAAGCAAAAAACTTTCTAGATTTTCTTTAGGACTAGCTGCTATAAGGTCACACAGCAAAGCTGAATTTTAAAAGCCCACCGTGGAAAAGAACATTTTAAGTCCTGTCTCAGGATGATGGTATAAATTTATGTATACACTGAAATATCAAAACGGTCAGAAGGCAATGTAAGAAACTTCTACTAAAAGAGTTCAAAAGCCCCATTTCATCTCTGGATTATTTCAGCAAGTACTTCTGAACAGGACTAATAATAAATAGAGATTTTAGAATCAAGAATAAATATGTTTTTAAAAAATCCATGATTTGCCTTCACCACTTTTAACAGTTGAATTCATGCTTAGGAATGTGTCTAAACCTTAAAACTGTTTTTAAACCTTAAAGCTGTTACTTTTCTGCGTAATTCATCCTTTGCAGTGCTTCTTCTTGAAGTGAGCTTTGGTGAGCACTTCTAAATATCTGAAAGCTGAATTCCAAAAAAAATGACAGATTAATTCTGCCTTAATCCAACTTCTAGTTCTCCTCAAATAGTTTAATAGCTTCCAAGACCAATCTTCACAACACCTGTCATCATTCACCAAGTTCTGTGACTGCACGTTCTTAGATTTTTACAGAGTGATAACAACATTATTTAAATGATTAAGTTTACTGATGTGACACAAAGAGAAACTCTCATTGGTTGCAGTCAACTAACATATTGTTCTGAATTTTCTCAGCTTGCAAAGAACACCAACAACACTAAAAGCTTCAATACTCATTTGTCACATATTTAATTTCCTAGTTGAAATGAAAGCGCAGTTCTGAGCTGGAAAATACCAGTGGGCATTGGCTCACCAATACATTTCCATTAAGAACTGAGTACCCAAGAGTATGATGCCTCCATTATAAATTTACTGTGTTTGGAATAAACCATACATTTTATGCAATTGTGAGCCCCCACAGCTTTCCATGGACAGCACTTTCACCTCACTAGAAACATCGTAGTAACTCACGTACATTTCAGAAGATAACCTGTACAGAGTTAAGACTTCAGAAGAGCACTCTTTAATTCCTATTTTTCAACTTCCCACAGATTTCCACCAAAATTTTGCAATGATTGACCTTTAAACTTTAAATGACCATTTGCATCATGAGTGAAATCAATTAGACAATTTGCCCTTGTTAAGAATTCATTTATCTGAATTAATGAGAATTTATTGCTTCTAATTAAATAAAATTACCACTCTGCAGGTATAAATATTCCCAAATTGGCTCAGAGTCTGGAGAGGTTCATTAGTTTAGATGTAGCACCACAAGCATGTAATTAAATGGCTTCCAAAACCATTTCAGGTTCAGAAGAGGTATACATTTGATGTGTTTCTGCAAATATCTTGAGCTAATTAATCTTCTGGACCTGAAATTATTCCATGCTAAGCTAGTCTGGATGCCTTTGATCTTAATTCCCAACATGTGGACATGGAATAGCATGGCAGAGAACCACTTAGCCATACATTATCAACAGTAAGCCTGGAGGCTTTTTTCTCTAGAAACAGGACTGCAGAATGGCACAAGGCTAACCAGACTGGCAAGGGCATCCATGCTGCAGCACTGATATGACTCCAGCAGGACCACTGCTGAGCCACACCTACTCCTTGGGGTAACTATGTGCAGTTGTGTGAATCCAACCTAGTCTTCTCCATAGTAACAATCTCAGAATCCAATGCTGTTCCAGATATGTGGGACGTTCCACCTCCCCGTGATTCTGGATACCAGACAGCTGGTTACACAACATGCCAACTAACAGCATGTAAACTCATTTGAAGAAACTGAAAACTAAAGACTGCACTGAGGAGTTCAGTTTTAGGGTGAAGCAGCATTTCTTTTTTTCTGTCTCAGAGGACATTACATCATCTTTTGTGTATTACACCATATTCTCAATTAGAAGAAAAATTAAAATACTTGAGGAGATGTACTTCTTTTTCTTTCCCATTCAGGAGGATATATACCAAAAAATGAAAGTGTCAAATCATTTCATTTCAGTATTTCATAATCCAAAGGAACATGCAAGTTTTAATAAAATCTTAGTATGGGATTCTTTCCAAAGTTTTGTTTTTCTTTGTTACTTAATTTTGGAACTGCTTAACATCAACCTTCAATATCCCACTGAAACCACTACACTGGAGTTGCAGTTTAAGGATCCCAAGACCCCAAATCCTGTAATTCTCTTAATTCTCTTTAATCAAAACTCAGCAGAATCACATTGACAGAGAGAAGACTATGTTTCTGGTATTTTAAGTTCCATAAGTGAAAATCTTCAAATTAACATGTATTTGCAACGACCCGATTTCCTCACTTTCTCATTTAAACTCAATAATGACCTCACTAGGTAACTCACATTATTAGTTGCAGAAGCAAAGAATAACTAAATTAAGACATTTTCCATACCAAAACATCATAAAGAATTAAATACACAGCCATGTCTTTTTAATGAGAAAACTTCAGAATGTCACAATGCCTTGAAACTAAAAATAAACCTATATGAAAAAAAAATCATAATTGGTGATGGATCCCATATAATTAAATTACGGTTCTAAATCCAATTACTAAATTGCCATATGTTCTACAGTTCCCTAACATGACTCTCCAGAAATAACTGTGCTTTCAATTGCTCAACTGGGCATTTAAAATGTTCTATAAAGATGTGATGCCATCTAGTTGGTGGAAAAGAACATCACATCATCACCATCCTTGCAATTTCATCCAATTTTTGAGACCAAATGTTGAAACACAATAATGAACGTAGTCATAAAACTCCGAAAATGCAAGTAATTGAAAAGTTGCATTGAAGATATTTATAGGAAGCACTAATGGTACTGAAAGCAAAATCACAGATCTCCAGGTTCGCCTCCTACTTTACTCGTTTTAAAGCAAACATTTGTAATGCATATAAAATACACTCATACTATTAGGCAAGATTAATTGTCCAGAAAACTGGGATCAGTATTGATTCTTTGAAATTAATGTCATTTTCTGTTGGAGAATTAAAAAGGTGGTAACCAGAAATAACAGATGCACACAACTGTCCTCACATTTCTTACACGAGGTGGAGCCCAGCCTGGCCACTGTTACTGAAGGAGAGCAAAAGCCTACAAACCCAGCAGTAAACAGTACTGCCTGTAGAACTCTGAAGTCTGCAGAGGAATGTGCATCTCCCATGAGCTACATGTAGAATGCAGCTAAGCTGGGCCAGTTGAAAAGGACCTCTGCTACAAATTAAGTATCTCTAAAGCCTCTGATAACATTCTTTTACTTTTTTGTTTTCTTTAAACCAGTAACTCATTCTTGCTTCATTAAATAAAACATGCAAAAATGATACTTTATCAGCACTTAAAGGCAAAAACAACTAAGGGTTTCCTCCTTCCCTCCAAATAAACAGACAAGAAAATTATCCTCAAATACTACAATTTTCATCATGCAGTTTAACAATATTAGTTCAAAAACATTCTCTCTCTATGTAGTTGCTAAAAACATGACTGGAGAGTACAATAAGAACCAGGAACATCTGGCTGGATTAATTAAATCCCTGTTTTTCATAAGGAGAATTTACTCTTACGTACTTCAATTTTCAAATTTCCCAATATCAAATCCCTTCAGTCACAGTATGAACACTGCAATATATTTCAAAACACTCTTCTCTGAACTTAGCAAAAGTAATTCAGATCACGTACTATATGAATTTAGATATCATCATATATAAGCTGAGTCTATAGAGTATCTGCCTATGCAAAATGTAACTTTTCTGAAACTGTTATGCATACTGAAGTTCTCTGGTGACTTAGACTTGGCCTACTTGCACAAAACTCACAGTCACACGAAGACAAAGCAGAAAACTTGGACCATTCTCTTCAGTCTACTTAATTAGATTGTATTGTTTTCACAGAACAGAACAGCATAGAGCAAATATTCAATTCTCTTGACACATGAACACTGTACTGTTTTCACATTGGTATGGATAACATTACTATTCACATTTTTGTTATCCAATTAATCCACTAATATAAGTGCAAGGAGATATTGCAGACGACAGGCATTTCTCAGTTTTAGCAAGGATGGGAATACTCTGCATCAGGGTAGAAGCACTGATTTTCTCCCTAAGTCAGGTCACACAGTTCAGTTCAGCTGTTCACTGGGACAAATCCTTTTTTTACAAGACAGAAATCAGCAACAGAAGTAATTATTAAACTAATATTATTCTTAAGGTATTATTTGATAAATAAATAATGTGAATATTTAATTGTTTCAACCTGAGATTTTAATTTTTCACCTATCAATACGGGAAACCTCTTGGCAGCTCTGGAGGCTGTGTGAAAATTAAATCTTTTGTTTAATTATAAATTGGCTTTGCTGTAACAGCAAGACTTTAATTGAAATATTTTAATTAAGTGCTTAAAGCAATATGATGCTGACTTTTTTTTGCTGTAGAGTAGCTTATCTAATAGTCTAGAGTATCACATTTACCCTGCTCCTGTGCTGCATACAGACTGCTATATAGCCAGTTCTAACTGTCCCTCTGCCTGGCTAATGGCTTACAAGAAGACAACAAGTGCATCCAACTACACTTCTTAGTCTACATTAATAATTTGGGTAGTCTAGGTAGTAAAAAAATGGAGGTTAGGACTGCTAAAAAATAACTAGAGTGAAATAGAATAGCAGTAGCATCTAGTTCAGAGCGTATTGTGATCTCCACAGATATACTTCCTACCTTCTGGCAGCTCTCCCCCAAGGAACAAGTGGCAGACAGGGGTATCACATTGCTCTCTAATGCATGACCAGACTATGGCAAAACACACGCTTCAGCAGTGAGTGCTGCTCCTTCCTTCTCCAGTCAGGATATCAAAATTGATAACATTTGGAGGATTCATAAATAGGACTATCGAAACTATTCAGATATCAGAAATGCTGTGGGGAAGAGGGGGTCGATTGCTTTCTAGCCAACTAATTTATCCATTTGAACATTTCAGAAACAATATGATCTGTCCCTGGGGCCCCTTCTGATGACAATAACAAATAAAGAAATGGGATCTAAAAGAACAGAGGAAACAGAAGAAGAACAAAATTTCATACTTGCAAAATTCTCTAGCTTTCTGGAAAGAGGGGTCAGGCAGGTACTACTATCTTGAAAACATGGGTAATAATAGCAGAACAGTAGTGTCGATCACCCACACCAAATTGCCTGCCAACATCTTGCATGGCCACTTTGAGAATCAGGTTATAAAACAACATACCTGGTATCAGTGTGGGGTAAAAAACACAAGCCAGCTAAAGTTTCAAGTGCTAACAACTACAGAAACTGCAGTATGACAAAGAAGTTAAAAACATTTGTATCTAATTGCAGATCATAGCAAAAGCAGCCACTCACAAGGAAGCCACATGAGAAACAGAAGAGGCAAGAAACTACTCACAAATGAAAGATACTCAAACATGAGCATGGGTAAAGATTTGTGGCTAAGAATTTTCCATGCATTGCAAAGACAGGAAGATACTGTTATTTTGAAAAAAAGCCCTCTTCCCTTCTAACAAAGAGTGCCCTCATTGATCAAATAATCTAAGATTAAATAACAGATAACTACAACGAGGTTTCACTGTATTTGACAGTAGGTTAATTAAATTATACAAGAACATACTGATTCACACAACATATCTTGCCTCCAGCAGAAAATGCTCAGGAAGAAAAAGGACAAGTACTTTGTGCAATTATGTAAAAGAGACAGACAAAATGTCATTTCAGAAAACAAGTAATGGTGAGGTCAACTAACTAGGTAGAGTAATACTTCAGAACGCAAGGGTGGAACACTGTGGGAGTGTTTCTTGCCCTGTTTCCCTCAGATTCCTGTTCTGGCTGGTGCAATTCATTTTGACTGTCTAAAGGAGAAAATTCTGACAACTAATTTCTCGCTCCTGGCTTCTAAGATTAACAGAGAAAAGGAGTAGGTTTTGCTTTCAAAATCCACATTCTCCAATTTCCCATTATACTATCTAACGTGCACAAAAAGCTGTTAGGAGACCACATGTTGTATTTGTGAAAAACACATTTCATTGCAGTATTTCTGACTGAAGTACATGGCCAAAATCATGCCTGAAAGCTGAAGAGATTTGACAGGATATAAATTTCAGGAAAATGAAGAAATTCTCAGCTGGTGGAGATCACTTTAGCTCCTTTAATCCACATAGCTATGCTGATCCACACCAGCTGGAAATCTGAGCCTTTTTTGTATTGTGCTATTTTTAAGTAGCTAAACTTTAGCCTTGAGCACAATTGTTCCACTCTATGATACAGTCTTGAAAGACAAGTACAGTGAAAGTAAAAAAGTAGCCATCACTAATGTTTCAGTCACTGACCAAATCCTTTGTCTGTTCACCAATTCTTACTAGTGCTATTAGATTACCTACAGCTGTCCCCTGACTCTCTGTTGGGAATTACAGCAATACACAACAAACCCCCCAAAGTGGAAGGATTTCTGCTTTTAACATTCCCTCCTGTCCCGACTGCTTTTGCCACCTGTGCTTTCCATTAGTCACTCTGGTGGCCTGTAATGCTATAGCTCCGTGAGGGCAAGATGAAGCCCCAGCTTTTGTGTCACATGTTATCCAACTTTTTCTTTGATCAGTCACCCTCCCCAAGAAAATAAACTGCAATATCTCTTCCCATCGAGAAATTCCTTTGGTCTCCATGGTGAGAAAAAATCCCCTGGCAACACCTACATCTATTAAATCATGCAAAGCAAGCTTTGGGAACAAAACTGACTCTGTTAGATAGCTGATGTCACCTCGCAGACACTCACCAGGGTGACAATGGCACATTCAGCAGTCAGTTGAGCAGCACTGAACAACGTCCGAACGAAGCGGTAAATCTGTTTCTGCTCTGGATCGTGTTTGTCATAATCTGGTGGCACTTCGGATTTCTAAGGAAGAAATACTTCCAAATAGGTGACAGAAACAAAACGAAGCAGACAGAGAGGCACTTCACACAAAAAGGGAAAAGAGATCAGTGAACTTACCGAAAGGGGATGAAGGTTTTCATCAAAAATATCTAAGAGCATTCTTCCGTCTATATCCCTAGAAAGTATTAAAACCAAAGTAGTGTTATCATCAGAACACAAAAACACACAGCTCTCACAGATGCAAGCGTATCATTAAAGCTCCAATACTACCTATGCTGTGAGGTACTTAGAAATGCTGCAGAAATGTGACTTTGGACACACTCCATCACAATCCTCACATGTAATATGAAATCCATATTATAAAGTAACCAAGAATTTTCAACACCCAAAATATAAAAAGCTTTTGCACTCTCTATTGTAGGCTTTTTTTTACAGCCCAAGGATGTGGTATGATAAATTTCTAACATAATGAAATCAACTCAGCTTCCTCTTCCTTTCTTGACTTCATCCAGTTGATCCTCACCAAATCTCTTCTTTTAATTAATTTCTCCTCCTCCTTTATTGTCAAAGCCACAACATATGCAAATATGTGACACTACTTTTATACCTTCTTTAATAAATGTACTTCAATTTCGTTTCTTTGGAAGACCTTATGCTATTAAAGTATACAAAAAATACTTAAAAAAAATAATAATACTTGCATTCATTGACTTAATTCACAATTTCTCTGTTGTTCAAGGTCAACATGAAAGTGGATGCAATTTCACCTCTAGCATCCGGAAAGCAATTTAAAATTTCTGCTGTGTGTAACCTCAGCAGGAATGCTAACAATCTCAAAAGCGAGTGGTGTAACAGTGCCAGTTAGAACTGGACACTTTCTGGACAGACGCATGTGACTTTCTTAATACAATCCATCTTTATTTATTGCATCCTCCGGTCGCAGAAGTCTTCAGAGAGAAATCCCTGAATACGTTTTCTGTCTTTATCACCAGCACATACTTCACAGAGCACACAAACATGAGTATTACAAATTCATATCTATAAAATGTACTCATTAGTGGATAACAGACTTAAACTTCAGCATCTTAACACCATTGTCATTTCTGCTTTAAAGCCTGCTCACACTGAAAATCAGCACTGTTCTTTTAAAAAGGAGTAGTTAATTTTAAACCAGCAAGCAGACTGAGATAATTAGTTCAAAATTTCTAATGAGCAAGGATGTTAGGGCAGACTCTTGTACCCCTACAGGAAAGTGCAAGTCCCCTAATGCAGCAGCAGTCCCTCTGGAATCAATGCTGTGCTACAGTATGCTGTGGCCCTTCACAATGAGAAGACAGAAAGAAAAAAACGTATTTTGTTTCTTCATGTGTAGCTACTGCATGCTAAGAAGGCACCTTGGATTGCATAATAAAAATCTATCACACTAAAAAAATGAACGGATAGGGTTTTGCACCTCACTCACTAAAAGAAATTCATTTTACCTTTCAAAAAGGAATTACCTACTAATTGATCTAAACATTTTTTTACTGCTAGTTTGTTGGATCCTATTTTGCTTATTTATTTATTTAGCAAATTCTTCCAAAAGCAAGCTACCAGTTGGAGGGTAGTGTGAAAAAAGCTGGAAAAAGTCAGTCTATGTAACAGTAATAGGAGACAGTGGGAAAAGCAGGAATGCTAACTAGAATGTCACAATCAAAACGTGGGGAACATATGACGCACACATATAGTTTCTCTGAAAACTTGCATCTGGGTTTGGTGACAGTTTAGAATACTCAAAAAAATTGTTTTATGCTTAGCATAGAGGAGAAATAGATCATTCTCATCCGAAAATAATTTTCCTCTGGCAAAGCAGGTGCTAAATTTGTTTTCTGTCACAATGAACTTTAAGCCTACCCAAGGGCTGCAGTGGTTTCACGCTCCCCAGACATAAATAACGAACCCAAATCTACCACATACGTCAACAACTTCCTTTGGCCTATAACGGCAGGAAACAGAACATATGTTTTGCTATTGCTGTTTCAGCAGCATACACAAACGAATGCAGTTATCATGCTGTTATCACCTTGTTTGCACCATTCCAAAATGAGAGATGACAGAACAATTGTTTTACAACCTTCATTTCAGAGTCATTAATTGATGTACAAGCACCTGCTGCAGCATCACTGTGTCACTGCTTACAAAATATCCCATCATTACACCTAGGACCTTCAGGTGAGAAGCAGCCACCAGTTCCTGCTGAATAAATTCCCCTTCCATTCCCAGAAGTGAAGACAGACAGCAAGTTTTCGAAGAAAATAACAATCAGAATGTATCTGTTTTCATGTCACAAACATGGGATTCCTTTCTGTTATTCATGTCTGCCCTCTCAGCCTAACTGTTGCAGGTCAAACTTGCATCAGGTTCTGTGATAAGACTACGAATGTGCACAATTTACTAGAGTCAGAAATCAGAAGGAAGCAGGCTTGGCTTCCTTTGGCTCTGGATTTCCTCCTGACTGACAGTGAGCTCTTGCTGAAGTTTCTCACCCACATGTAGTCTCTTACATGCCCCCTTTCTGCTGAGCTTTTTACTCAGTTGGCACAACATTTAACAGAGCACTTACAATATTGTTCCCCAAAACTTTAGAACCTGATTAACTCTGGGATCTCTGTTAGTCAGTCAAGCATAGACAAAACTGATTAGCTGGCTGAACTAACCCAGAGATGTCGGAATGAAAGGGAAAGAGGGAAGCACAGATGGATGAACAAGTAAACCAAGCATGATCATTAATGCTTCATTTCCTAGGAAATTAGATTAAAAGGAAAAAATATTTCACTTCAACTTCTGCTTTACAGATTGCCATATTTCAGTCCAAGGCTCACTGAGATCTTGGAAAGTCTTCTAAGAGCTTTCAACAGGGATCAAGCCCTAAACCTTTCTGCCTTTGTGCAATTCTAAAGGTTTCTTCTAAGACACCAGCTTTGTTTCAAGAAGTGCAGTGTGCTCCAGTGACCTGAAACACAGTCCCAAATGATGCACCAGCTTAACTTTAAAATTAGGAGTAATTCCCTTTGCTCTAGTTGGACTTCTCACAGCCCTGATGAAAAACTTGTAAGTCGGTTTGTTGAGATCTAAGCCAAGTTCTCTGAGAAGCACGCTGCAAAGCCACGTACACAGAAGTCACTGGAAGTATTCATACAAATCTCTTTAAAAAATCAGAGAATATTATGATACGGTGACTTATGATATCATGACAACATGAAATTTAGGAAACAAAACTGCAATTCAATAACCACAGTGTTAATTCATGTACCAAGTTACCATTTTGGAGAACCTGTTTTCTATTCAGTTTTAATAGTCAACTTGACTGAGAGAGATCTGAAAATGCTACACTGGAAAAGATAAGTCAGGACCTGCTCTATTTCTGCAGTATCCTGAGTTATATTTATTGACATTGTCACACTAACTGTATAATGAATGGCTTGTATTTCAAAATCTATTAGCTGATTGAAGATTTACACAGTTAATTTTACAAAGGCATAGCCTAAAAAAATAAACCTGAATGACATTATTAAGATCTTCTCTAAACGTAATTGCAATGTGTATGAACAAAGAAATGCCCAGGACATATAATATCAAATACTGAATCATCAGAGGTTTTGAATGCTAACTGGGATTGCAGATTTTAATGATACCTAATCCTCTAACTTTTATTCCTTTAAGCAATATTGGAGAATACGTTTCTCTTCTCTAACATGGGAGATAACAGAAAAACTACCCAAAAACATTTCCAAAAAAAAAACAAAGCACAGATTTTTCAAGTTTCAGAAGTCCATTTGTTTTGATTAGAGATCTTCAGTACAAGTACACATACCTGTTTTTGATGTGGTAATAAATTGCAAGAGCTACACTGTAAAGAAAAACACAGAGTTAATATTTCATATATTATTTGTGATGTTAACATGCAAAATAAAAACCTAGGAGAATGTATGACAAAAAGCTCAATGCCTTATTTCTTCTGTCTGTTATTAGATGCCAGAAAAAAGCAGTAAATAGATTTAGCATATTTGTCCAGCACACTCAAAGTGCTTCCTTTTCACTATTAGTGAAGTACCTTACAAAATACTCAGACTTCATATACGAAGTCATGAGCAACTTCAATTTAAAGCACACCTCCACTAAAGTCAGTGGCAAAAGATTATTGACTTCCAGGGTTGAAGGAAGCATTGGGCACTCACTCTTATTGTTTGATAAGGATGGGGCTTTGAGCAACCTGCTCCAGTGAGATGTGTCCTTGCCAATAGAAGGGAGGTTGGAACTTAATGATCGTAAAGGTCCCTTCCAAACCAAACCATTTGATGATTCTATGATAATGTCGTAAGTCTACCTTGAAACATGTTAATTACTACTGGCTTATGTTTGGCTTTATGTTATATTGACTGTATTATGTATATTTATGTTATATTGACTATATTATATGTTTAAATGCATTAAGTTCTGACTCCTTCTATGTAGTTACTCACATGGGAAACTGAAATATTGAGCTTCTACGCTTTTAATGGCATCAAGTTACTCATTTCAACTTGTGAACGATGACTCCCTGAATAACTTACTGCATTATGCATTTCCCATACTCTCAATCATATACCTAAATACCTCTGCATATATTCTGCACAAAAAAACAGAAAGTATCCTTATACTGACAGAAAGTTAAGCTTTTATTTATATATACAACTAATTGCATTCACATTTGAGACTGAAGAAAACTAAGACTTGGCTTCTCAGAGTTATTCTCCATTTTCCAACTTGTACCTTGAGCTTTATTGTAGGGTATCTGCTTTACTAAGGATATAGCTTTAAAGAAAGTTAGAGCACAGAGAGCAGCCTCCCTAATTACTCTAACAAAGCAAAATCCAGCAAAAACTAACAAGGAATGGGGAGAGAGTTCACTGATTCTATATGTGGATGATTTGTTTTGTCAAACTCATTGTAAGTTGCTTATGTCTTATACTGATGCAAAATTGCCCTCTTTTCTATTGAAAGCCTCTTAAAAGAATAACTGATTTTTTTTACATACATATATTTGAGAAATTAAAAATTACTGTTTACTCAGGGACACTCAAAAGACACAATCCTCACTGAACACAAAAATCAGATTTATGAATGAATTTAATTTGACTGAAAACTATTTAGTCCTAAAATCTAATTTTACACGATGCCCCCAGGGACAAACTTGCAGCTCCAGTTCATTTTATGCAAGTGGACGCAATAACATACATGCAGAGCTCTGCTTGCTGTCCATTTTGTTGCTTTTGTAACAAAACGCCAAATTCAGTTTAGGAAAATATTTACTCTTCAGAAATCTATACCAGAATCTGAAGGTCTCTCAGAGCTGTAATAGATTAACTCAAACCCAAGTTTTATTTTGCTTTTCATGCACTGGTTCATCTAGCATTCAGGGTGCCTTACCTAGCAGCTGACGTAGCTTTCCATCACCACATTCTGCCAGTCCACTCATTCCGAAGACCTCCAGGTAACACACTAATATTTTAAACCCACCAATGACCCCAAACAAAGTCAGCCAAAACGTACCCCTACAGATCTACTCATGTGCATAGTCACTCACTGGCAGTGATGTCCAGGAGGGGCGCAGGAAATCAAGTTGTACTACAAAAGCTGTCATCCTGCAGTCTCCCCACCTTTTAACTCTGCCACTTACATCGGGAGATGAGGAAGAAAGAAACTCCTCCTCCAGAGGGCTCATATGCCAGAGTCCAGTTCCTCACCCTACACGACCCTTTCTTCAAACCCTCTGACCCCGTGCAGCTCCCAGCCCTCCCCATGCCAGCAGCCAGGCAACACACCTCCCAGAGGCAACTCCTTCCCTCCCTCCCTGCCCTGTCCTGCACAGCTCTGCCACCACTTTGCCCCCAGCTCAGCACCCAGGGCCTGGTTTTCTGCCTGCCCTTTCATAGCCCTGCTGTTGGCACTGCACCCTGGCTGCTGCAACCCCTCGTGTCCTCTTCTTTCTACTAACAGCTTGAGTTCCTCTGCTGAAAGAGTCTTGAAGCTACATCTCCCTTCACTCCCCTGAAAGGCTGCATTTACAGCAATCCCTGTGCAAAGGGTTTTAGAGCAAAGAATTGTAAAATTCAAGAGGCAAGAAAGGGAATATCAAAGCCCCCCAAAAGACTTTTCACAATTATTTTTAAGTTACTAACTATAGAAAAAAAACAAGAGGAAATACAAGACTATTTTAGACAAATATCTGAATAAAGTATCAGGCAGACTGCATCTCTCTTCTTCACTTCCCTCATTTTTCTTTTTAAGATCACATTTCAGTGATCACCCGCAGCACAAGCTCCTATGATAGGCTAAATATATATCTCTCATGTGAAAAACTTTATAGCATAAATTTTGACTTCATTAATTTTTGCATTTGAGTACATTATGTTCTCAAGTACATTGAGAGTATATCTACAACCACAATAAACAGCAGAAAATGCCCAAATATCCGTTCTCATATTTTTACCCTTACTGTACAATATGTAAAGATTAAAACACTATTAATACCATTTTTCTCTAAATAGACAAGTGCATAACCAAAACCTGAAATGAACATCTGCAATGTCCCCAAGCATAAGCCCATGTGGACACCATAAACAAAGCTCCTCACTGCTGTGCAATCAAGTGCCAGTGTCTCAGTACTGAATAAGGAAATGAATCAGGAGTCAATTAATTCTCATTTCAAACAGAAAACTAGAAGGAAAACTTAGAAAATTAGCATTTTCCCAGGAACAGAATAAAGCCCTTCAGTTTCAGAAGTTTATTCAGATTTTCAGAATGACATGAAATCAGGAACAAGTTTTCTTACGAGAACTTATCCAAAGCAAGTACTCAATTGAATGCTGAAGCACAAGGATTTCAGCTGCTAGAATTCAAGAACCTTAATTGTTGCTTTCTTGTGAGATATGCAGTACTAAGAATTTGATTTTACATGAAACTAAAATCAGAGTAGCATCCTTTACTAATCCTATACACTGCCTCTAAAGTAGGATATGACTGAACAAACTTACAGATTCAAAAACAACACGATGAAACCTGCCTAGTAATGGTTAAGAAATGCGTATACATATCCAGTATACAATGAAGGTTCAGGTAAATTTACACACACACACACACACGTATATATCAAACCCACCATTTGATGGTATATTTGAGGTTTGGTTGACTGACTGTGCTGTCATCCAGGAAAATAGTGGAACAGGAACTGTACTTTCTTCTCAGCTGTCCAGGAGGATGCTATGAAAAACACACAAAAGAACAATAGCAATTACGTAATACCAAAGCATTTCTCTGAGGAGATGTAAGAATTTTGAGAAAATAAACTTCTTCTGTCTCTCACAATGACACACATAGTAATGTAATGTTTTGAGGCAGTTCAGAAAGTTCAAAAATAATTACCACTGCTGAAATCACAATTCCTGCCTGAGTTTTGCCTAATGCTTTCTCCAAGCCTCAATCTCTCCTCCTTCCCTTTTTCTCTCCTCCCCCAAAACACCACAAAAATCTTTGTGCAGAATTATAATACAAAACTTTATAAAGAAAATACAACCAAGTCCTATGTTCCTGTATTTATTAAAAAAGAACAAGTAGAAGAGTGAAGAAGATACCCCATAAGAGAGAAAGACTGGTTTAGAAACAGATGCAAAACAATGCTTAGAGAAAAGAGAATTTAAAAACAACAACAACAAAAAAAAAACAGAATGAAAGAGTCTTTGCAGTGGAAGTATTAAAAACTAAAAAATTAACAGATAAAACTCATAAAATAGATTGTTATAGATAGGAAGAAAAACCATAAAATTATGTATCAGAAAACCATATGCAAAAAAAAAAAAAAGATAAGATCTCCTAATTGAAGAAGTTTAAGAGATTCCAATTATACTTCTGCATTACTGTAAAAGTACATTGGAAAAAACAGCCAAAGGGCATTTGACAACACTGTTTATTTCAGAAGACTTCTTATTGACAGATCTGCTTGAGCTGTTTAGAGCAGACAGCACTCCAGCAGTCTAAAGAGAATCACTTCATCATATCAGCTAATAGCTCTCAGAGTCATTAATGCCATTTGGTTTTATCCTTACTTATTCTACTTAAACTAGTAACTAACTTGATCAAGAGGAGCCCCTGTTATGGTAGTGAGGGCAAGAGAAATGAAGCACTCAACTCAGAGCATGGTAGACTTAAAATTCAGCTGGCACACCCACACGAAAATTTTAATTTGCCTTACAATTAATGTTGTTTTCACAGTTTCAGTTGAGATCCTAACGTCAATATCTCCCGTGGAATGCACAGAGATTTACCAGCTTAGAATAACTCAGGACCAAGGCTATGGTGCCATTTCAGTACATCCTCCCTTGCCTAATTCCAAAACAGGTATTATCAAAAACGCCAGCACTCACTAACATTCTGTGCATTCATTAGATTCAGAACAGACAGAACAGACTCTTCATAAACTCATATGCATCTGAGTCATCTTTTTTCCATTTTCCCAACTATGAGAAAAAGAACATTCAAAGTATTCTGGCAGTTGAAAAAAATCATTTTCTGAAGCTCTTACAATTGTGGCAATGTTATGTTGAAATGATTTCAAAGCTCACCATCAAGGTGAATTTCACTGTGAAGCTGCCCAATCTGACCAATACATTTGTATGCTGAACTACCTTTCTTGCAAATAAAAATTTAATGAAAAAAAAATGGAAGAGATTTTACCCCCTCAAAAATTCTCCATGAGTTTGGAAAGGTACTTTGTAATATTTTGGAAGCTCACAATCCATCTGCTTTCCAAGCAAGGCCAACAGAAATAGAAAATTTAGAAGCACTGGAAGTGTTAATGCCAACAAATGTATTATCTGGCATTGATATATAAGGAGAAAATTATTAGAGTTCTGGTGATTTATGGCTTATATTCTACCCCAGTTTTGTTCATATTTCTGGATAAGAATGTTCAGCACCTTCCAAAGAGATGATAAAAACTTTAAAAACCACTGAAAATGTGACTGTTTCATTGGTTAGGGGAAAAAAAAAAGTTATGACATAGCATCATTAAAAAAAAAAGAAGAGCTTCTACATTCTAAGTGTAAATGTTTTTTACAGAAGTAGCTACAATTTATGATAAGTAGCCTTAGTCCATCCAAAACAAGCATGAGAAAACCAGAAAAGAGCTCCACAGCAACACCATTATCAGATTTAAATTTTCTTATGCAAACAGAACTTCAACATTTGAGGCATGCCAGTGATTAGAGGTATATACCTTATTTCTAAAGCTACCACATCACAGACCTCCCCTCAGTTCTCAGCCCACATCACACTTTGTTAGGCTTAGAACTTTTCACATCTCAGAAAAGTCTGTGGTGTCTCATGCCTCACTTCCCAGTCGTAACCACTTGGCAGTAAGGAGCACTTCTCCCAGTCTGAAAAATGGTTCCAAGTGTAACCCTGCTATCATGGGTACACATCGACATTTTTGCCATGTAAATAACTAACCCATCGATAAAGCAGTGTTCCCAACTTCTACTCTGATGACCAGATGCAACCATATAGTAAGCCAGATAACAGTTGTCATGCCTTTTCCAAATTAATGGAATCTGTATTCAGAGTTTCATATTGTAGCTTGACTAAACTGGAAGAAAACTGAAGTCACAACGACCAGCCAAATAGTATTTTCTGAATCTCCATAAAATGCTGCAGGTGAACCTTCTCCATTCTTGAAAAGAATTAGCTCAGTGTCAGACCATCCTACACAGAAACCACAATTCAGTTCAATGGAGTAAGTTCATCCAAAATTGTACAGGAACCTAACATTTCAAATCTATCAAGGTTGACTACAAAAATCTTCCATTTATACAAGTCATAGAGGCTGTAACAGATAGAAATCTGAAGAACTGAGACAGAGTATAAAGCCTTTCAAAAAATAAGCCAAATTCTATATTAGTTGGTTCCTCCTCAGCTTCTGTCCCATCATTAAGGCAGACAAGTGAGAAAGAAAGGGTTGATACAGTTCCTGTAATAAACCTTCATATGGAACCATGACAGTGAGTACAGGACATATGTGGAGCCTTGACAGTGTCTGTTAATACAAATAATTACAAAAGCATCTCATTGATAGGGAGTGGGATTCTCATTTTATGTGCTATAACTTGCTTTAGTAAGTTTATACACACACACACACACATAATAGTTTGCCCTCAAGTTGTGATTCAGAAGATACAATGCTTTTTTACTTCAGCAGGACTTCTGACTCCATCTGGCACAGGGCAAAACAAGGATAGCATGGTAGGCAAAAACTGCTTGGAAAGCTGAACTCTGGTTACCCAAAGAACACTTCCAAATTGGAAGGCAGAAGTAAGGTGAATCCACGGAAGTCTTGCCTACTCAGTATTAAATAGTGAATCAAAGCATTCTGTATTGAATTTACAGATGATAACTTGAAGAACCAAATATGTATTAGAAAGCAATGTTATAATCCAGAACAATCCTGACAAACCTGGGAAATGGTCTGCACAAAAACACAGCCCTGAAATCTATTAAGAACAGATGCAAGGCTATACACTTCAGAGAAAGAGAAGAACCATCTGTCTAAATATAATATGGCAAACAACTGTTCAGGCTTTCATCAGAAAGGATGTGCAGACCACATGACAACAAATATACTCTTGCAAAAAAAAAAAAAAGGAAAGTATCATGCAGGACTTATAAATAGAGCTACCATACGTACAAGAGGATGGAGCACCCATCCACCCTACTCAGATGGAACACTACATCCAGTTTTGACTACTGTATTTCAAAAAAGATGAATTGATTTGATCACAAAGGATGAATCTACCATGAAAGAACAGCAATACCAAACAGATGTTTGAACCATCAGATTTAAAAGGGACAACTGTACAAGTTTTCTTAAAGAACAAAGCAACGACACTTACTCTACGTCATCTTGAAGGGAGTTAGAAAGAATATTTTTCTCCAAGCCCATTGATAAAGGCATGAGAAAGAGCAGCCTTATATTGAAGTAGGAAAAAATAAGAATGACCTGCAATGTTGAGAGGAGGTAATGCCAAAAAAGAATAATCTTTTCTAATGGCAGGAATAGCAGAGTTCTAGTTTGAGTGACTTGAGCAAAAACAGAATCTTTACAACTGTCAGTGATGGAGAAGAGGTAAAACAAAATATGGTCGGAACAGCTTAGATGCAGGACCCTGCTCTAAGACATGAATTGAGCCTGAACAGCCTCTTGAGACAAATTCTGGACAGATCGTCTATCATTTTTTATCTTTTTTGAGGGAAAGGATTCATAGGTCTTTACTCCAGAAGCAGTTGTTGTTTTCTCCTTTCTATCAAAGAAGTTCATTAAAAATAATGACATAAAGATCACAGCAACAACAGAATACTTATTATATTGTGGAATTCCTTTCTTTACAGGAAAAGATGTATAATGGAAAAAACTGCTTTCTAGCTTGCTAAGCTTTTTTATGTGCAACAGAACAAGCTCTAAGAGATCAAGATCCAGCACTTCCACTATTAACAGGTGTCTAGCTCTTAAAAACAGCAGCTTGGCATTCGTGCATACCTAGTACTAAGGAAACATCACTTCTAAATGTTTTTCTTAGACTCATTCTGAAACCTTCCAACTTCTCAAATCATGGTTTTGTTTTGTATTTAAGATGTTTGAACAGTATGATTTACTTGAATCTTACATAAAATGCATCTTATTAGTAATAGAGTGGCTTAGTTTGTCTGACCTTTGACTTTTCTTCACAAAAGGGCAGGGAAACGAAGTCATAACCGTACAAGCTTTGCCAGAATGTTCCTACATACTTGCCATGACAGAAATCACAAGGAATTCCTAACTAATTCACACTGCATATAAACGAAAGGATGACTGCCTCTCAGGATTCATTTTAAGATCATTCCAAAATTAAATCTAAATTTGCAGAGGAAAGGGAAGCATTAATGTATATATTTTTAATATGGTCATTTCAGGGTGCTCTTGGGTAGAAACATCTAACAGAGAGGTGCATGTCGACCAAAACCCTTACACAGAATTGTCCAGAATTGGTATAAGCAAATTCTGTCCTGGATGCTCTTTAGCAACAGTAGCATGGCACTCTGCCCTGACTCTCAGCAGCATTTGTCACTTGGGCACAACACTCCTCTAATGAAGCTTTCCAGCTCTTACCCCAGAGCTGCCTTGAGCCGGTCAGCTTCCAGTTCAGCAGAACAACTTCAGTCTTTTTCAGTACACT